TGTCACTAGAGTAGAGATCTGTACTATTAGAAGGACTCTACCTAGTTCACCGTATACTGCTAGATTTGTACTTTTCGAGTGAACTCCGAGTATACGTTTAAAAAATTTCAACTGAAGTGATTCCATTTTATTCACCACACTGAAAAATCTCTTTTGGAAAAGTTCAAACGAAGAAATTTTACCCAGTAAACATACACCCCAGATTTCACAACCATATAATAAAACTGGAACCACTACCGAATAGAATAGTTTCAGTAATGTTTTAATCGGTATATTCTCTACATTTGAAAGTTTCTGCATTAGGCAATTGTAAGCTCGTAATGCCTTGTTGTATAACATTGTTGTCGCTATCTTAAAGTTACCACCACAATGAAAAGTTAATCCCAAATACGTATATTCGTTCACACAATCCAGTGGTTTGTCCCCGAAGAACCACTTGGTGGAGATAAATTGTCGTCTTTGATACTGTGTCCCGAAAATCAGAATTTTTGTTTTTTTTAGATTAACTTGTAATTTCCATTTCTTAGTATATAGTTCAAGTTTTTGAAGGCAGCATTGTAGCCCAGATTCCGATTCTGACATTATCACCAAGTCGTCGGCATACAGCAAACAACTCAACTCAGTGTCTCCGAACTTCACAGGTTCACAAATAGTATTAAATAAATTAGGTATATCGTTGATGAAGAGGTTGAACAATGTTGGACTTAGGTTACATCCTTGTTTTACTCCAACATGAGATTGAAAGAATGGTGTGACACCTTGTTCAAGCTTAACCGCTGATTTAACAGAAGAATACATGTTCAGTAAAATTGTGACAAATTTTCTGCTACATCCGTAGTTTATCAGTTTAAAAAATAAACCTTCTCGCCAGACACTATCGTATGCTTTCCTGAAATCAACAAAACATGCAAACATAGGTTTCCGCCTTAACTTATAAGAGTCTATTAATGTTTTAAGAACGAGCAGATGATCAGACGTACGAAATCCATGTCTAAAACCAATTTGGTACTTGTTCAAAATACTGTTTTCTTCTAGAAAAACATTTAAACGTGCATTAAGAATTGAAGTGAAAAATTTTCCTAAACAGCTAGAGATGCATATACCTCTGTAATTTCCAGGATCAGTTTTATTTCCCGATTTGTGTATAGGAGTAATAAGGCCTTCCGACCATATTTTTGGAAAACTCCACTAGATAAAATCTTATTAAATAGTTTCACATAGTGAGGAGCTAAACTAATGGATGATATTTTAATAATTTCATTATTAAGTTAATAATTTCATTATTAAGTGAATCGTTTGCGCTTGCTTTGTTAGGTTTGAGTTTTCTAGAGATGTCGTGAATTTCTTTTAAAGAAATTGGTTTGTCAAGAATCTCAACACCACTGGTCGCCCAAAGGTTAATATCAGCGACTATTCGAGACTCAGTGCTCGTGCTCTCAGAGGAAAAATTAGTCTTATTTAGGTCGTGAAAATAGTTAAACCACTCAACGGGCGATATTTCGTTGGAACCACTAGTACGATTGGATTTAATTGAGTTAACAAGGTTCCAAAACGCTTTCGGATTGCTATCCGCCAGGATTTTAATTTTATCCAATATATTGCTATGAAAATTCCTCTTACGTTTTCTAGTTAATTTCTTGTATTCTTTTTTCTTGGTGAAGAACAAGTGTCTTACAAAAGGGTTATTTGGTTGTTTAGATAATAGCTTCCCTAAGTTTCGTAGTTCTTTTTTAAGACGGTAACAGTTATTATCAAACCAATTCTGCTTTGGAATTGAATTCGTTCCCACCTTATTGGAATTCTTCTTCAATTTTTTGAAAGATATTAAACTCGTAGCTGCTTTGTTAATAGTATCTGTAAAATGGTTAGCTAGGGAGTTGATGGTTATCTCATTATCGTTTGAATGAATAAAAATCTTATCCATTTGGTCGTTCATTTTTTCATTATTAAAGATATTATACAATTCTCCCCTCAAACCATCATTCCATTTGAAGGCTAAAGTGTTAATGCTATATTAGAATCACAAAACACTAAATCCGAATTAGTGGCCTTTATTGCAAAGGACAAGAAACAGTGGTGCGAAAATTCTGTGAGGGGTGAGACAGAAAAATGACTTAAGGAAGAAAAAAGGCTCTGAGAAACAATAGTATAATCTACAACACTTGATCCATTATAAGTGTGACATGTGAACTGTCCAACAAAATCGCCCTTAGTCCTCCCATTTAAAGTAATCAGGGAATTCTCACAACATAATTCGACCAGAGTTCTCCCACATACATTGGTGTTACAGTCTTGAGAATTCCGATAATCAACTGGACCAGAGGAATTATTGTATACGCTAAAGTCGTCAACAAAATCGTTTAAATTTCCTATTCTTGCATTAAAATCTCCACATAAAATGATCTCACCTAGATTACCAAATTTATTTATGTCATTTTGAAGAGTTTCAAAGTGATTTATGTTCAATCTATGTTCCCTAGGAGAGTTTTGTGGAGGAATATAGACTGAACAGATGAAAATATTCTGTGCTAAGTTAAAGAAATCCTTATCCAGTTTACAGCAAACAAATTCTTCACAACTTTCTTTGTCAAGAAATTTGACTCCTTTACGAATGGAAGACTTAACTAGAACTGTTATGCCCCCTGAGTTTCTACAGCCATTTTTTGTTTTTTTTTCTGCATTTTGAAAATGAGTAAAACCCATCAAGATTCAAATTACAGTTATCCTGAGATAACCAGGTTTCTACTAAAGAAATAAAGTCAAATTGAAGAATTGTGGAAATAAAGTCAGAATCGGCAACCTTTCTTGAAAGACCTTCAATATTCCAAGAACAGAGCCGCAGAAAATTTCTGTTAATTGGCATTTTAAGACATCCACCCGTACAGTTATACAACATAAATAATACTGAGCATACACATACCTGAGAACACGTAATACACATACACAATATACACACACACATACAACCTGTATAAATGAGTGTACACACAAAAATAAATATATGCAAACCCCACCATGCAAACATAACTAGTCATAATATTGCTTTTCTACTTAGCTTTAGGTTCCAAATTGTGGATTACCATAAACTAATCCTGATGGTGGAAAGGGTGGCGGAAAAAGTGGCGGAGAGGGGGGAAATAGATTATTTGGTTGTGGAGCTGGATAATTGTGAAATGGCGGTTGTGCAGATGGGTTGACAGTTGTTTGTAGAAATTGTTTAAACATGGAGGTTAGATCAACGAGATGGTTTTTAACTTCACTTATGGTTGATTGATTTGGTGAATTATTCAGTGGGGGGTTCTGTTTCACGACATCACTCCAACTTGATCCATGATTTGATTTGGGGTATGGAAATCGATGTTGTCCAGAAATTCTTCGATTATTGATGCCCAAAGATTTTTTTAAATTGGTTGCAAATAGGGGTATACCGTGTCTCCTACTCAAATGTTTTGTGTCAAAGTAGAATTGATCCTTACTTCGTAAATTTCCATTGTCCACCAAAACGACATTAAGGATTTTACAAATGTTTTGGGCTACTGCTTTGTTGACCTCGAAGACGAATTTATCCAGGTCGTCCCGTCTAGGTGTGATACTCGACATAATGATCTTTTTGTCCGGAAAATTGGTTGTAGCAATGTTCACTAGACAAGTTTGGCTTTCGATTATATCTTTGGGTGATAAACTTTCCAAATCATTGACGCCAGTGTTGATAATGATGCCATGCTTCACCGTAAATCTTGGGGAGGTTAAAATGTCAATAGCTTTGGCTGTATTTCCGCATGGAATGACTTTGTTATTTCCTTTTGGATAAAGCTGATCTGCGTTGATATACTTTCTGTTCGAATCACAAAGGATGACAAAGTCGTATTCTGGTGATTGATCTTGTACTTGCTCTTGGTTTTCATTATTTTTGTTACTGGCTTTCGCGGCGGTAGAATCTATTGCACCTGGAACCTTTTCTTCTTGTGGCTTGGTTTCGCTCTGAGAGATATGGTTGTTAACTTGTTGATCTTGTGGTTCGGTGTGGTTGGATGTGATTTCCTCATGGAGCTTTGCATTTGAATTTTCTAAGAAAGCTACTCTTTTCAGTAACTGAGATTTTTCTTCGACCAACGATCCAATACGACCTTGGAGTCGTTTAATTTCTGTTTCGGCTTTGACAAAACGATTGTCTCGTCTTTATTGTTGTTTTGCGAATCTTTGATAACACGTAGTTCATGTTTTAGATGGGAAGTTAGCGACTCAGATAATTTTTTCTTAGTGTTTGATAAGTTACTCTGTATATCAAGTATATCTACGTCTGTTGTAGCCAAAGTCGAGTCTATTTTGATCATCAATTGTTCCAATTTGTTAACACGATTACTTATAGATTCTATAAAGTCAATGATTTGCTTTTGATTTATAGAACCATTACTGTGAGTTGGCAGTGTTGAATGAACGGATGATTTTCGTTGCATTTTTCTGCGATGACAAGCCCCAGGCGGTATTTTAGTGGTATTGTGGCGAGGTGAAGAGAGTGCTTTGCTTCGTCTGCGTCTGACTTTTGGAGATTTTGTACTAGGTTGCTTTAATATTAGATTCTCTTCAATACCTTCGACATCTTCATCACAATCCGAAGAGTCCAGATCATTCAAAACATCAAATGATACATTACTTAAATCAAGTTTCTCCTTGCTTCCGTATACATCGCTCGTGTCATGAAAGGAAGTTGTATATAATGAACTGATTGTTTCGGCGTTTAATTCCGAACTCAAGCATAACTCATTAGCAAATGATTTCAGTTTATTGAATTCGTTCTTACCCCATAAATCTTTGTAGTAAATGTTTCCGTTTCGTATAGTCTAATAAGTCTATAAATGTATTGTTTGATGATAAAATGTCCTAAGTTATAGGATATTAAGATATAGGTTTATTCGGCTTTGGAAGTGTTATAGTGCCTAGACCCGACCATGAATGTCGCGAATAACTATGTCGATTGCATATTGTCTGATGCAAACATATTGAGCTATAAATTCTACGCTGTATAAGTGGCCAACGCTCGAGCCTCAAATTTTGCTATTTTATCTCCTAGACCTAGTATATGTTTGTGGCCCTTAAAAGTAGACAAACATTTCATGTTTGAATGCTGTTCTTTAATAGGGTATGTGGCGTTCGGAAATATTCCATAAATTGGAAGAATTAATAAATTGGAAGAAAATGATATTGATTTGTGCGATGTCGCCATTATTTCTCTTTGCCCTATTGTACCGCCATCTTGGATTTATCATGTAGGCCCCGCCTGCGCTAGGTGATGCGTTAGCAATCTAGATCTCTATACTATGGTTGAAGCAGTTGATTGTGATTGGCTCCACTGGGCTATACTATAACTGGAGGACGTGCTCGGCATCAAAGTGTCGCCAAAAGCATGGCGGATTTCGGCCACTTTGACGCCAGAATGACGCCATCTGGTTCCTTTTGCTCATGCAATTACCACTGAACAAGGCTCAATTTTGAGCCCGCTACAGATCCTCCCCTGATTTTTGCAAAAATTTATCGATGGATAATTTTGCGAATTTTCAACCAATTCAATCATATATATGCTCAAAATCTTCGCGGTAAGTTTCTCTTTACCATAAAATTTAACCGAATAAGTTTCAAAACAATGCGACGGCAAAAAATGCAAAAATCCTGATTTTCGTAATAGAATTTATAGTCTCTTTGCCCTATTGTACCGCCATCTTGGATTTATCATGTAGGCCCCGCCTGCGCTAGGTATGCGTTAGCAATCTAGATCTCCTATACTATGGTTGAGCAGTTGATTGTGATTGGCTCACTGAGCTATACTATAACTGGAGGACGTGCACGGCATCAAAAAGTGTCGCCAAAAACATGGCGGATTTCGGCCTTTGCTGACGCCAGAATGACGCCATTTGGTTCCTTTTGCTTATGCAATTACCACTGAACAAGGCTCAATTTTGAGCCCGCTACAATTTTCACTCCCCCTGATTTTTGCAAAAAATATTTTGTTGTTTTTGCGGTCGTAGTTTTGGATTTTTTACATTATTTTTGGACGTAGACTATTTTTTCAAAGATGTGCAGTATGTACAAGTTATCCTTGTTCGCTAAATACAATAAACCTGGAGAAATATCGGCAAAGACGATATTTGAAGCCAGTTGAGACGAGCTGACAGCCTCGGACGGGTAAATAATATTTCACAGTTCAGTGAGAGAACCTAAAATACTGTAAATATTTCATGAAAAATTGGTCTTTTTGGTGGGAAATGATTATATTTAAATACGATGGATAATGCTTTATTTTAGCCACGAATATTTAAAGTTTTGGTTGTAGAAAATTCGTCGACTTTATCAATATAGTTTCATTTATTTTTATTAAATTTGAATCTGAGCTAACGGTTGCCGAAACAAAAATCTTACAACTCGAACAGGCACTAAAACTACACGAGTTAGAACAAAAGAGTAAAGAAACTGACAATGGGCTTTGTCATGATCATTCCTGCATTATTATGGAGACACTTAGCACTAATTGCATTAGAAATCAACACGCGCCTTCGACTCAAGAGAATACCTGTACTAATAAATATATCACATCTAAAGAATTACCACCTAACCCTCGAATACCACCAAAACAAGTTGATAAGCAGGAGCCTCAAAAACATGCTGGTCAAGTAAGTCAATTCCCAAAATATACGGAAATTTCGGACAAGAACAGCAACGACAATGCAAAACGACACAAACCATCACAAAATGAATTAACTAACTGTTATGCCATCCCGACTCGCGTTACCCATAGAACACCATCAAAGAAATCGACGTGGCGACGAAATAAACATGGCGCTAGAATCAACCAGACTGAGGAGGGTTTTCGCAAGGACAAATGGAAAGCCAATATGAGGTTTTTCCAGTATTATTACTAGAACATGATTTTTCCCTACCAGGTCGCCCTACTTCAATTCATCGCGGACAACGTAATTTAAATAATATTATTCAAATTAACATTAATAAAACTGTTATTTCCAATGCTAATGACTATTTCTACGTTCCGAAACTACTATTGACAAATACGATGTCATTAGCTCCCAAAATTGATGAAGTGAGTTGTTTTGTCGCAGAAAAGAGTCCTGACCTTGCCTGTATAACGGAAACATGGTTAAACGACCGTATCTCAGATTCCTGCCTCGATATTCCAGGTTACAATTTTGTTCATAAAAACCGCAGTGTGGGTTCCCACGGAGGGGTTGGGGTGTACATCAGGAACACGATATTTTATAAGCCTCTGAATCATCTCCACCATACAGATTACGAAGTTCTGTGGGTCTATTTTCGTCCAAGTAGACTTCCCCGTGGGTTTTCCTGCTTGATACTTGGTGTCGTTTACCATCCACCTAATGCTAATGATGATGAAATGCTCCAATTTCTCTCCACATCACTGATTACTATTGAAAGCACCTATCCTGGCTGTGGGTTTATTCTTGCAGGCGACTTTAATCGGTTAAAATGCAATCGGATATTAACACAGTTCAGTTGCAAACAGATTGTTAACGTTTCCACAAGGGCCAACCAGACTTTGGATCTAATAATAACCAACTTACATTCGTTTTATGATAAGAACTCTGTCGAAAAATTTCCGCCATTTGGTCTTTCAGATCATAATGTTGTGATTGTCAATCCTTGCAAAAGAGAAGTCATGCAGTAGAAGAATTATCTCTAGTAGAGATTTACGATCTAGTAAAAGGCATGAGCTTGGAAGATACCTTACATCTATCGATTGGTCCTCTCTGAATCATTTTGACACATGCGAAATGAAACTCCAGTATTTCGAAGAGTTAGTACGTCTCGGTATTAGCACCATTATGCCAATAAAGAAAACAACTTTGCATGTACACGATCCTCCATGGATTACTGCAGAATTTAAAGAGCTTATAAGGAAGCGTCAAGCTGCCTTCTGCAGTGGAAATACCTTTCAGTTCAAGTATTACCGGAATCGGGTTAACCGCGAGCGAAAGACATGCCAGGCGAAATTCTACTCTTCAAAAGTAAAGAATCTTAAATCGACCAAACCGAAGAGATGGTGGAAGGAGGTGAAGCAGATTGCTGGTATGGTACCTACAACCGGCTCCGATGACCTATGTAGTCAACTTCATTTAGACGATATCGAGAATATGCAACGTCCTGACATTGCGAATTTAATTAATAACGCCTTTTTGGAGCCCATGAACTCCTTCAATCCACTGTCAACCCTTCCCCCCTTTGATAATTATTCCTCTTTTCAAGTGAACGAATTGGAAGTCTTTCATTTACTGAAAGCAATTAATCGTGGAAAGGCGTCAGGTCCTGACGAAATTCCCAATTGGGCTCTTAAGGAATATGCTGAAATCCTTGCACAGCCAGTATGCGCTGTGCTAAACAGCAGCTATGCCGAACAACAACTACCTAAATCTTGGAAGCTTGCCAACATTGTGCCCCTCATAAAAACTAAGCCCGTTAGCGACATTTGTAAGCAGTTACGACCAATTTCACTTACTGCCGCTATTTCGAAAATCGCCGAGGACTGTGTTGTTAAAAAATACATTGCTCCAGCTATCATGAGTATAATCGATCCAAGTCAATATGGAGTAATACCAAGAAGTTCAACTACTCTCGCTGTTATATCTATGATCCATGAATGGTCGCAAGCTACTGATGGCACTGGCTCTGCTGTCAGAGTCATCCTGTTCGATTATAGAAAAGCATTCGACCTTATCGATCATGCTTTACTGGCTGATAAAATTTCCAATTTAGCTATTCCACGTGCGGTTGCTCGCTGGACAATCGATTTTTTGATGAATCGAAAGCAGAGAGTGAAATTATCCAATGACTGTTATTCGGAGTGGGGAGATGTACTTTCCGGTATCCCTCAAGGTACAAAATTAGGGCCCTGGCTATTTTGTTTAATGATAAACGATCTTGGTATTTGTGATATATCGAGGTGGAAGTTTGTTGATGACACAACAGTTGCTGAAGTAGTTAGTAAGGACACAAAGAGCCGTGTTCAAGTCGCAGTTGATGTTGTGGAAGATTGGTCGAAGGCAAATGGGCTATCTCTTAACGCTGAGAAATGTAAAGAACTGAGAATCGATTTTAAAAAATTAAACAACCTTTTGATCCTGTACTGGTGGGTGGAGAAGCATTGCCTATAGTTGAGAGTGCAAAAATATTGGGTCTTGTTATGACAGGCACACTTCAGTGGAAAGATAACATCAGAGAGAGTATAAAGAAAGCTAATAAACGCCTCTATTTTATAGTATTATTGAAACGGGCAAGCGTAAATGTCAAAGATGTCTTGAACTTTTATTGTACAGTGATCAGGCCTGTGCTCGAGTATTGTGCGCAAGCCTTCCATCATTCCATCCCAAAGTATTTGGCAGACGAACTTGAGACTGTCCAGAAACGTGTGCTAAAAATTTTATCTCCCGAAATGACATATTGTGAGGCCCTTGAGTATTATAGACTGCCTACTCTATTTCAAAGAAGAGAGGACATGTGTGACAAACTCTTTACGAGTATCATCAAGGATCCAATGCATAAACTTCATCATCCGCTGCCCCCGAAGAACGAATCGGTATTTTAATATGTACGTTACACGCACGAACCGCTTTTATAACTCTTTTATCCCTGCTATGTGTAGGAAGTTTGTAGGATAGATTTTATGCTTATTTTAATCGAATTTTGATCGGGGGTGGGTTTTATAATATTGTATTAATAATATATTTATATGTAGTGCATGTGATAATATGTAATCCACGCAATTCAGCTTCTGGCTGCAATGTGGTTTCAATTTAATAATAATAATAATAATAATAATAATAATAATAATATATTGACACAGACCTAATAAAACACGACCTGCGAGTTTATTAAACGGCTTCAAACACGACTGACAAATTCAATAGATATACCGCCTTATTAGTATTCTTTATCCCCGAGCCGGCGGCGCGAAGCGCCGTGCGAGGGTACTAAAACTCATAAACTCATAAACTCATAAACTTTATTACATATCCCTCCCTCGAAAGGGTTTTTCAGTGATACAATACAATACAATAAATTATTTAAATATAGTACAGATATTCTAAAAATATATTTACGATCAATTAAAAACTAGTTATATAAATGTAATTTAAGAAGTCAGAAAGTGTTTGTGAAGTTTATGTTTAAAAGACTTCAATGACTGTTCGGATTTAATCTCCGGCGGTAGCGAGTTCCACAATTTTGCCCCTCTGAAACTAAACGTTCGCTGTCCCGTAACAAGGCGACAAAGTGGCAAGTGTAAGTCATTAACATTCCTCGTGACTCTGGAATGCACCTCGGAATTTCTTTTAAATTTTTCTGACAGATAATATGGAGTCAGATGGTGTAGCGATTTAAAAACAAGCACTGCATCTCGGAGATACAATTGGTCTGTAATATTCAGCCATTTGAGTTCTTTCAGGGCAGGAGAAACATGATCATATTTCCGTAAACCAACAACAATACGAGCAGCAAAGTTTTGTACAAGTTGCAACTTTTTTACATTTTCTTTAGAAGTGTTGCTCCATACGGAAGAACAGTAGAATAATCTACTAAAAACTAAAGAGTGTATAACAAGTAAAAGGGTCTTTCGATCTAAAAGGTGTTTGACGCGATTTATTTGGAATAATGAGTACATACACGAAGATACTGTTTTATCAACATGATGTGTATACGAAAGACATGAATCCAAGTGAACGCCAAGATCTTTAGCAACACGAGTAGGTTCGATTTGTTTGGACGGAAGTTTAATGGAGAAACCTGGTAGCTGTTGTAGGCGCTGACAAGTACCAAAGGCGAGAACTTTAGTTTTCTCAGGGTTGATTAGGAGGGAGTTGCCACAGCACCAAGAACATAACTGGTCAAGATCTTTGTTGATTTGGCCTATAGCTGAAACCAGGTCATGTAAAACAAAACTAACGTAAAGCTTGCTATCGTCAACATAACACTCCGGCTTACAGTTAACAACTGACGATGGTAGGTCGTTGACATACACAGTAAACATCAAAGGTCCCAAAATAGATCCTTGGGGTACTCCGTGAGATAGTGGGAGTTGTTGCGATAGAAACTCTCCCAAACGTACTTTTTGAGATCTATTTGTCAAGTAGCTGGAAAACCATTTCAAAGCACTTGGAGCCATTCCAATATTCCATAATTTATTTAATAGAGTTTCATGATTGATGCTATCGAAGGCTTTCGAAAAATCAATTAGGACCATAATGGTAATCAATTTTTCGTCCATTGCTTTCAAAATATCGTCAGTAACTTTGAGTAAGGCTGTTTCAGTTGAATGTAATTTCCTGTTTCCATTTTGATGCGCAGAGAGTTTACCTTCGGAACATAAGAAGTTATTGTATTGACCGTGAGCCAGCCTTTCGCAGATTTTAGACATAACTGGCAACAATGAAATTGGGCGGTTATTACATGCTAACTCTTTATCTCCTAACTTGGGGATAGGGATGACCTCTGCGATTTTCCTTTCCTGTGGAAAGTTGCTGGTGGTAAAAGAGCAGTTTATCATGCTGGTTATCGTAGACAGAATAACAGACAGGCCATCTTTTATCACTCTAGCTGGTAATTTGTCAGGACCAGCAGCTTTATTGGCAGGTAAGTTTGATACCACATTTGCGACTTCTGTTTCGGAGACTTCACGAAAACAAAACTGCGTTTCCGGAGGGGTTATAGAGCGTTGTGGACAAGTTGCTTCCAAGTTAAAATCGGTCGCAATCCCACAAGTTTCAGCAGCAATGGAACTTCCAAGGGAGGTAAAATATTCGTTAAATGTGTTCGCCAACTTTACAGAGTTTAACTCGTGTGTAGAAGAACATGATTTACGAGGTAAACATTTGTTAATTGTTTTCCATAATGATCTCGAGTTTCCCGAATTTAAAGTCAACTCGCTACGTACATATTCTTTCTCTGCAGCTCTTAATTCTTTCTTCACTTCCTGCCTGAAGAATCTGTAACCATTCCAATCACGGTTATCATTGGACCTTACCGCTTTCCGATGCCACGTATCCCTAGTTTTTATTAGGGCCCGAATTTCAGATGTTACAAACGGGTTAGGTCTTGATTTTAATTTAATACGCTTAACAGGAGCATGAACGTCCAACATATCCATGAACAATTTGTTAAAAACGTCAAGTTTGTCATTTACATCGTCGAAAGTATCAACTATGTGCCATGGTACAAGTGAGAGATCATTCACGAACAATTCCTTGGAGTAGGTTTTAAAACTGCGTACTGTCACATAGGTAGGTTTACACCTGGGACTCTTCAAGTTTAGTACAGCATATGGTAAACTGTGGTCACTAATGGATGAGAGCAACACATCGCTAGACGATATTAAGTTTCGGTTTGAAGTAATAATTACATCTATCAACGTCTGCGTGTTGTCAGTTATCCGTGTAGGCACAGTTATGATCTGATGCAAGTTTAGATTTGAACAAACTTCAAGTAATACACGCGATTCGCGTTTGGATTCCTGTAACATGTCGCAGTTTAGATCACCCAGGACAATCAAATCTTTGCATTTGGACATTGCTAAGATTACATTAGGCATAAAATAATCAGTAAGCAGAGATGGAAGTGAGTTTGGTGGCCTATATGCAACACACAAAACCAGCGATTTGCATTTGTTTAATTGCACCTGTAACCAAAGTTGTTGAAATCCATTATTAATGGCCGAGATGTCAGGTAACAGTGATACTTTTATGTTGTTCTTTACAAAGACACAAACACCGCCGCCTTTAGAAATTTGGCGATCTTGTCTATAAAGGGCATAGCCGAGAATATCAAGTTCAGTATCCGATACAGTATTATCCAGCCAAGACTCAGAAATTGTAAAAATGTCGAATTTATGTAAGAGCACAGTTTCCTTGACAAGAGTGTGGTGTATACGATTTTTTAACGATCGTACATTTAAATGTCCAACTTTTATTTTCCTTTCGTTTTTGCGAGAATAACATCCAGACTCTGTAGACGTTTGTTCTCTGACAGGACCCGGTTGTGTTTCAACATCGCCACATCGAAGCAAAATCAATGAAACAATAGATGGATTAAAAGTTGCTACGTTGTTTGATGAATAATTAAGCCTCCGTCTCAAATAGCGCTTATGCGTGTAATCCCAATGAGGAAATGTGTGCAAACGTATGCAAATCAGAGAACGTTCACTGAAGCGAACGAAACCAAAACCAGACAAATAAACACAAATCTCGAGATTTCTTAATCTTGAAAACGCTGTTTCTTTCGGACAGTTCAAAGTTATTATCTCAACAACCACATCAGACACAGCAGAAAAAACGATTGCCTGTTCCACATGCGATGAAACTCTGCAGGAGATAATACAATCCGGTTCACAGTCTCCAACATGGCACATACCAGCGTTCGAATGGCCAGCCAAATTTTCTTTATTCTCGTTAAGATCACACACTTGTAGACTTCTCACACATACAAGCGTTTCTTGCCCTGTTACGTTTTCATGTGCACAACATTCAGTGCAGAGCATCAATAGAGAAATAACAAGAACATTCAAGGAGCTCACAAAGACATGACCGCTCGCCATGACTATTCAATGCTATTCGTACCGCTTTCCAGAGCTCGTACTTCTCCATCACTTGATCAAGTTCATCTCTCGGTTCGACTGCCACCGCTAACACTTCGCGCACCGTTTTGACTTCGGACTCTGACTCTGGACTAGGAGTCGTAACAATGTTCTCCGGCCACTCGTCTTTGTTCTGCAACCACTCCGGGCCTTTCCACCAAAGCTCAGATAACTTATCTGCTGATCCACTTCGACTCCCGATATCTGCCGGGTTATCAGTTGTCGGAACATGTCTCCAGTGGATGTACTGCTTCGCCTGGATCTTTCTCACCCTGTTTTGGACAAACTGTTTATAATCTCCGTTGCCTTGTATCCAATACAGTGCAACCGTGCTGTCCAGCCAACAATACACGTCTCGAACTGGAAGAGGTTGCAATGTTTCCTTTATGTTGTGTAAAAGGTTTGCCGACATGTGCCCTGACACCAACTCTAGCCTGGGTATTGATAAATCTTTCTTTGCCAAGCGTGATTTCGACGTTATCAGTCCATGGTTGACGCACGACTCTTGGTAGACCACGGCATACACAGCTGTAGAAACTCCTTTCTGGCTCGCATCTCCAAAAGCATGAAGATCAATCGCCTTGATATCTTCTCGGTTGGCTGTTAGACTTCTCGGGACTTGGACCTTTCGAGGCAGGCTTTGCACCCAACAGCTCCACTTAGCATTCAGGTTGTCAGGTAGTGGTTTATCCCAACCAATACTCAGGTCACACGCTTCTCTGTACAACATTTTCCCAGCCAAAGTCACCGGCGAAACAAGACCGAGTGGGTCATAGATCTTTGCGATCGCTCCTAGGATGCTTCGTTTCGTTGGTGCGGCAGGTTGAACATCAGGAAATGTTACTCCGATTGTATCTTTACGCTTGTCCCATGCTAGTCCGAGCAATTTTGTCTCACCTTTCTCAACGCCCAGTTGTTCTTTCGCGTAGCTTCGTTCAGGTTCACTCGACGGCTGATTGTTCGTTTCCAAGATTGGTTCATTAGAATGCCACTTGTGCAATTCAAAGCAACGTTCGCCGAGGATCGATATGGCTGACTCTTTCAGGTTTTGGGCTTTTCTCGTCGTTTCTCCACCGCCAATTAGATCATCCACGTACAAACTTCGTTTGATCTCTTCTACGATCTCTGGATTCTCTGATTTAGAATTTTCGAGATGCTGTTCGATTACTCCACCGAGTAGGAATGGTGATGATGTTAAGCCAAATGGAACTCTAGTGAATCTCAAAGTTTCGATTTCTTTCGTGTCCGTATCCTTCAACCAATGAAACTTCAGTGCATTTCGATCTTCTTCTTTCACTCGCACTTGAAAAAACGCTTGTTTCAGATCACCAGCGACTGCAATAGGATAAAACCGATTTCGGGTCAAGACACTCCACAAAAGATTCTGTAGGGGTGGTCCTGTCTCCAGACAGTCGTTGAGGGAGGGTGCCTTCTCATACGCCTTTGCCGAGGCATCGTACACGACCCGAACTTTCGAGCTCTCGGCTGTCTCACGCACCACCGGCTTATGTGGGATGTAAAACTCGTTATTCGCTGGGACACTGGATGGAGTGACTTTCTCCACAATCCCCTGGTCGATCTGATCTCGAATGATTTCATCGTACTTGGTCATCAATTCGGGCTGCTTCTCTAATCTCTTTACTAGATTTCCAAGTCGTCTAACACTGCCACGCTCATTGTTTGGCAACGGGGGATGATTTGCTCTCCAAGGGAGGCCCGTTTCGTACCAGCCTTCCGTATTCCTCACCAATTGCTCTTTAAAATCTTCATACACACTGTGTTGATCTCCTGTTGGACGATCTTCCAGTCCTAGGACGTCCATTCTGCACAACATTTCGTAGTCGCAACTCGATGTCTGGGTCATGAACATGTTGGATAAGTCTGCTTCCTTTCCCGGAGACATTATCGTCCAGCCAAGACTGGTCAATTCAGCAACCGGTTCCCCAGCATGTCCTAGTCGTGGTTTCGCTTCCATCTTGATTTGTGATACTCGCTTGTTCCAAGAATCAAATGAACGGGGAGTTGATCCAGTTTCTTTTCAACTTCATCCATGGTTATCCCCTGTAAGTGTGGGTACTGCTGCAACAGTTGGTCATAATTAGGGTTTTCCAAGTTCAACAAAACTGCACGGTCGACTTTGGTAACTTCGGTCTTAAGGTGAAAGTCTCCCTTCAGATTGCTGATTTCAAGGTTGTGCACTTCGGTCATCTTGTTGACAGTATGCATCATCATCTCGATTCTCCTTGGTTCTTTGCGAATCGGTCGGTTCTTCAATCGGTCAAGTAATGCTGCTGAGGCATACGAGCTGCCGGCTCCAGAGTCCAGCAAGGCGCGACACTTGATTCCACCAGCATTCACTATTACAACCGGGTGGATGACACTACCTTTTCCAGCTGCGGTTCTAAGCATTTCCAGGGGGGTGTTGTCGCAGATTGAGGTATGGTGTTTCTTCTTGCAAGATTGGCAAACAGTTTTACTACGACAATCGGCTGCTCTGCGCTTTACTCCAGTGCAATTGAAACACAGTTGTTTGATACTCAGCTGCTTCTTTCGCTCGGCTGTGGTGGTTACTTTATCACAGTTGACAGATTTGTGCTGATCACTCCAGGGCCTTTTTTAACATACAAGCTGGGGGGGCATTTGCCCCCCCAGTCCCCCCTTGTGCCCCCCCACGAAATCACATTTTGCCCCCCCCCAGGAAAAGTCCCTTTTTCCTAAAATTATACAAACAATCCAGCGAAGATTAACAAATAGATAAACGGAAAGTAATTTTAGGCTTTATCCTTTGTTCTTGTTTAACAAAATCGATTTAAATTGTTACTTTTTTACCACTAAGCCATGATAAATTATTGTTAATATTTTTTTTTATTTTTTGGATGCTCAGAATGCAGGAAATAGCATTTCACGGTTTCAAATTTCAAAAATTTTCTTGGGATTATCCCTCTAATAAGTAATGATAAATTACAGTTAATATTCTTTTTTACTTTTTGTGCATTTTTCCATCTTTTATTTCAAATACAACTATAGTTAGCATAAATTTTAGAGCAAATTTGGATGCTCAGAATGCAGGAAATGGCATTTCCGTGGTTCAAATTTCAAAAATTTTCTGGGGGAGTACACCCCCACACACCTGACCATTGCTATCCTCCTCTAATAAGTAATGATAAATGATGGTTATTTTTTTTTTACTTTTTGTGTGTTTCTTCCTTTATTTATTTCAAATACAAGTATAGTTAGGATAAATTTTGGAGCAAATTTGGATGCTCAGAATGCAGGAAATGACATTTCCGGGAGTCAAATTTCAAAAATTTTCTGGGGGAGTACACCCCCAGACCCCCCATTCATGCGTGGTATATTTGCCACACACGTGGCTTTCAGCCATTGCTATCCCCCTCTAATATATTATCTCACAGAAAGGTCCCTTTTCAAAAAATGCCCCCCCACGGGAAAATCCTTAAAAAAGGCCCTGTTCGAGGCCATGATAATATCTTTCCTTCATAAAATGTATCCATTTTGGTAATCTTTTTTTGGATGTTGAGAAGGCAACAAGGTTAGCATTTTTGTAAATAGAGTAATCCAGATCTTCAAATGGGACTCGTTTGGCGTTCGTGTTATGAAATTTTCGACTTCAAATCTGTTTAGATCGGTCGGTTTGTTAATTGACGATGTTGTTGTCATCTCGGTTGCCATGATTTTTTATTTCGGCTATTGTTTGCCAAAATAATCGATTTTCATATAATTTATTTCAAATATATTTACCTTCGATCTTTATAAAAGATAGTTCAGTATTGTATAGAATAGAATAGAATAGAATAGAATAGAATAGAATAGAATAGAATAGACTATCTCTACCGACTTTAAACCTTAGGCTTAAAGTAGACAAATTTGATAAAACTTGGTGAGTCGATCGTAAAATAAGTCAGTTATTGGGGCGAGCCTGAGCGAGCCCCAAAGTTTAGTGGCTCATCGAGCTCAAGCACAATGCATTATGGAGCGTTCGTTCGTTCGTTCATTCGTTCGTTCGTTGTACGAACGTACATGGAACTTTTTCTACAGTGATATAAATCCTACGGACTTTTCGCCTCGCACCGGCTATTTTGTTTTATACGATGATTTACAGTAAAATTTACGAGCCTTTCGCCTCTCACCAGCTGACAATTTTTCATGCCACATGCGATGAAATATATTCTTCATGCCAAATAACAAATGGAAATTGGAATGGTCAGTATTATTTACTAATACAGTGGTCAGTATTATTAAGCCCATCGCAATTTTACTTTACTCGAGTGAGTTGTGGTTCAAATTCTGATACAAAGCCCGATTTGATTTGTCATTTGGGCTGAATATTCAGTAATTCTGTTATTCTTCTCTAAGACTAGGAAAAAAAGACCTTATTTGCACGTTTTTGCAATCCGACTCTCTGTATATGCATGCATTAAATGTTTTGTTTACATGCAGTATTATTAAGCCCGTCACAATTTTACTTTACTCGATTTCTGAGTGAGTTGCGGCTCAACTTCTGCGGAGCAGATGTGGATTTGATTTGGGCTGAATATTCTGTAATTCTGTAATTCTGTTATTCTTCTCCAACACTTTGAAAAAAAGACATTATTTGCAAGTTTTTGCAATCCAGATCTGTACAGTATATGTACTATTTAAAGCACGCGTAGGAGTGTTTTATCACATATAAAACACGACGCGTAGGCTTATTAACCAACGACTCATCTTATACGAGTTCATTGGCGAAGTAATTTTTAAAATAAACTTTGTCTAAACCGAGAAAATCAAAGTTTATGTAAATTAACATGATTTTTTATCACATATAAAACCACGACACGCTTATGATTTTTCTTTGTGTTTTGCTCCTGAATTATTAATGAGTTTTTTAAATATATATATATATATATATATATATATATATATATATATATATATATATATATATATATATATATATATATATATATATATATATATATATAGGGACGCAGAACGAAATGTAGGGCACGTTGAATATTGATTTTGTTTGTAAATAAACACTGCGTGTCTATAATTTTGTAAAAGAACGCTGTTAATAACTCTAGGACCTCGTGAGAGTTAGGAGCTCCAGATAAATGACATGGTTAGAAAGGATATCTACGACGTTTCTCGCTCTTGTGAGGGTGTCCGCGCGTGATCGCGCAGATTATTGTCCAGTATTTTTCTTTTATGCGCACACACAAATATAATTTGCGATTCAGAAAGAACAAGCTGCGAGGGCCTTAAAGCGCACATAGAGACTCTTAAAACTAAACCGTATGACTAATTAAAATGTCCACGATTGATTTCTCCCATACTCTTTGGAAAATGTTGCAAAATTATGTGCAAAAAGCTAATAAAAAATAAAAGTTCATCTTTTAGTGATCAACATACATCAACTTATCTGGTACTTTAATGGTTCATGAAACACTTTCCCAAGCTTGAACTTTTATTTAATTCAACTTGTATTTCAAACTTTCAATTTTGTACACAAGATACTTTAATTAATATGATTTTTGAGACCAACCTTCCTGTACTCAAGGAGTGGCATCGGCCAGATTTTAGTAGCTCGCATATTCGCCTATTGCTCAAGAACTGGACGATAGCGTGAAAGAACTGTGCATAGTGAATGGTTGCTTGCATCACTCCAGATGTTGCTTGCTATTTTTGTTATGCATGGGCGGGATATTGGAAGCAATATGACAGCAATGACATCATGGCATACGAAAACAAATTAGGACAGCAAATTTAAGAAAAAATTACACCAGTTGAACGAAAGAACCGCCTTGGCAAGAAGTCATTATTAGAAAGATCTAGCTTTCACCCACATGTGTGGAAGGCTTTTTTCGACATGTTCAAATAATAACATTTCAGCTTTGGTAGATTACACGAACTGTGAGGCAATTATTAATACGCATTCAACTACTGAATGTCAAATAACATTGCACCAAGAAAAGTAAAACAGTGTGTATTTACATTTTGAAAAGGTTTTAAAATGTTATGCTTCTATGCAGATATGCATGCCATCAATATGCTAATCATTTACAGTACGTTTTTCATCATTTTTAACTATTTTTATTATACTGTACATCTCTTAATGTATTAAGAATGTTGTTCAATTCCGAGTCTTTTCTTTGCACCAAATAAAAAAGAATCTTTCTAAAATAGTGACTTTTAATATGAGCGGGCGTCGTTAAATTAGTAAAGCAATTATCAGTACATTTTACCTAAATTTGGAATCATGGAACGCGATGCGTTAATTCTCAACCACAATCGAACCTATAGCCATTTGTAACAGAAGCTATTGATGAAGGATTTAGGCAGAAATATTTATGAATTCATAACGAAAAATGTCGTGACAAGAGCAGTTTAAGGCTTAAGAGCTCCTAATATTCCTTACAGTGTTGTAACGAGTCCAGTCATTGACATAGACTCGAGTCGACGCGAGTCGCTATTTGCAGCGACTCGACCCGAGTCCATTACGAAAAATGATTCGACTCGACTCGAGTCAACAACCCCAAATGACTCAACTCGGACTCAACTTGCTGATTTTTGCCCTAAATGACTCGAGTCAAATCAGATACACCTTTTACAGAATAAATTCATCAAAATTATTGTCATTGTATTGCTTGGGAAGAACAATGAGTCCTTCATGTAAACAATGCATGAGAACTTTGAAACTTAATCAGAAAATATTTGGGGTTTTGTATATAATATATCCCTGACGAGCCTATTACATTTGCCTATTATTGCCTATTACATTTGTTTTTAGAAACAACGCTAGTGCCACAGGTTTTAAAATGGAGTCTCAAAGTTGTGTGTACTTATACTAATTTTGACCGGCTCTTTTCATTTTTGGTATTCAGTATGAAGTGCTATATTATTTTAAATTAACTTATACAGCGTGATGAATTAAAATCTATTCTTTGTTAATTCTGACTCCAGTTGCAAATTATGCTAGTTGTATGTACGTACACTCGATCAGCAGACAAGATGAGACAGCTCATGTAATCGTACTTAATATTGACTAGAACTGTGATATTGGTACAGCCTAGCTGCCCAGATACTGTTATTAAATGACTAAAGTAATTGGCTATAGCTTAAAAGGCAAGTTTGATTACAAATTTCAGACTACAAGCTAGGGTTGCAAACCATTACGGAAAGGGTGGGGTGGACTTGATCAAATTCCCTAACTCAAGTCAAGTTTAGATACTGACTCGACCTGACTCGGCTTAAACCAGTGACTCGACTCTAGTGAAGCCGCTGGCTCTACTCGATCAGAAACTGAAATGACTCGACTCATGACACGACTTGTAGGTGACCTCGTTACAACACTGATTCCTCATATTTTGTTTTACTTAAAATGCCGTGAGAGACATCAAGCATCAGAAAATGAGCCTTAAACATGCGGTTGCCTAAACATTTGAATAATGAAATATTCATATGAACATTTACCTTTCACAAAGCGAAACTTTCAATTCCTTGGATAGATTATTTTCTGTGCTGTATTTCTTTTGACATCCAATTTAAACAAGAATGCAAGAAACAATTTGAAACAAGATGGGAGTGAATGTCTCAAACACGTCCCTAATATCGTGCTGACAGTTCAAACAGCTGTCAGTATTCCTTCATACATACATAAAAAGGATTTTGCCGAAAACGCGATATTTAGAAATATTGAAGGCAAGAAGGATGAATAAAAAGAAAAACAACTTCAGTTCCATGTTAGCTTTCATTTGTTGTGCCATATTCTAATTTTGAAGATTTCTTTTAAATTTCAACATGAATAACCGATTATATGCAAACGATTTCGAGTGATATACATCCACTTATTTATTCTTGATCGATGGGATGTGAATAAACAGCTATATGTTAAATGAACGATCTTTTATATATCCACAGCTGAATAAGCATGTGTAAAATACCAAAACAAACACATAAATTCAAACTTCCCGCCTGAAAGTATCTGATTAGCTTACTATAACTGAGGAGAATAAAATACTTTCCGCTTCAATCCCCAAATGGTCATTATACATGAGAGAAAACATTGCTCACTGCTGACTTTAATTACGCGTCCTTTTCTGTTTTTGTGTGGCCCTTATTGAGAAAGAAACGTTTTTTATCTGAATTGACTATGTCGCTATACTGAACAAGCTCCACTGATGAAAGAACGTGAGGCTAAAATGTTTTAAATTCATGGCGAGCAAAGCTAGTTTCACAATATGCATTTTTATATGTAATATAATATATAGAAATATTTTTTTAGAAAATCACACATCTGTAATTGTACGCAAGCTGAGACATTTAAAGACAAAATATTAGATTTTAATATTACCTTTTACAATGTTTGACTTCTATTTATTTGGATAAATAATTGTCGGCGATGTTTGTTAGACATAAAGCGGCTGTAGATTTAAGTAAGATGAAACTTCGAGATATTGTGGCAAACATATATGCATGTCATTTTCTTGAGAGAACTCAAGTGTTGGCAACGCAATTATAGGTGAGTTCACTATACCTTGCATGCGTCATTTCCTCCATGGTTTTTCGCAAATTTCTTTACGTCCTATATAATAATGGCAAACCAAACGCGTTGAGAAGGAGGCGACATATAAACACGCTTCGCATAAAATATCTTGCAAAATGCAAAAAAAGAAAATATCTTTCCAAAATGGTCTTAGAAACAAAAACATGGTAAATTGCGTTTTACATAAATTATTTTCAAAAATGAAACAACACCAACATGTATTTGCACTGAATCTACTTTGTGTTCTCAATAGCTACTAAATGTTCTACTATCGATCTGAAACAGTCACTTTCATTAGACTTTATAATTTTTTTGTTAGAAATAGGCTTTTTACATAAGTTTCAATCATGATTTACACTTCTTTTGTTCTTACGTAATATAAATGATTAGACTGCAGGTACATACCTCTACGAAGTTGTTGATAATTCGATCATTGCTGCCCAACTTTCAAATAAAGATCTAAATAAGATTTCTCAGTGGCCTGATAAGTGGTCGGTGACCATGAACCCGTCTAAAACCCGATCTATGACATTTTCAAATGAGGGAGAAAGAGTGAGTCATCCGGTGCTTTGAATGGGAGGGTGTGATATAGCAGAAGCTAATATTCATGCCCCCATTTGTCTCATTTTTCAAAATAATATATCATGGAATAGCCGTGTACTTTCTATCTACGAAAAAGCCTCTAAACGCTTAAACTTGTTAAAATCGTTACGGTTTAAAATTAATAGATCAACACTTGATTATTTGTATAACAGCTTGATACGTCCAATTATGGAGTATGGGATCTTATATGCATGGGATTATAATTGTACTGTTGATGTTAGCAACCTGTTTGAATGTGTCCAGTATATGAGTCTACTAAAGTCGTTACTGGGGCCATAGCAGATACTAGTGCAAAAAGTCTTCGTGAAGAACTTGCTTGGAAGAAGTTGAGCATCAGAAGAAAAATGCATAAATTATTTAATTTCTGCAAGATAGTTAATAAACCTACTGGCCGTACCTAATAGATCTCTTACCGATTTTAGTGATCAAAAGATCGTATATTGCCTTATAAACTGGCCAAAATATTGGTAAATATAGATGTAGAAGTGAAAAATTCAAAAAAGTTTTTTCCTTCTTCGATTTCTTTATGGAACTCTATTGATCTTGATCTGAGAAATTCGATTTCTCATGCAATTTTTAAAGCTAAAATAGTTAATCATTTTTATCAATCTAATTACGATAAATATGGCTTAACTTTACACATCCGAGAAGAGCTTCAGGTCTTACATACAAAACTAAGATTGGGATGCTGTGCCCGTACCGAGTGAATCTGTAAAACATTATTTATTATCATATCCCCGTTTTGCTGCTTAGCATATCAAACTTCTTACCTCAGCTGCGCAAGTTTGTGGTCAACCACGAATCATGATGACAATGAGAAAGTAGAGTGCATGTTGAAAGGATCTATCCGGTTGAGTTATGAAGAAAATTGTACGTATGTCATTTGGCATTGTTCAACGGTATATTCTGGATACTTGCCGTTTCTCTTGGCCTTATGACTCAATTGTGTCTGTCTTCCTCTTCGTTATTGGTTGTTTTTGTTACTGTATTTTGTAAATAATGTGAGCCTCCTTGGTAGGCCTTGGATTTTGTGGAAAATATGTCAATAAAGCCAGTGGCGGCGCCAGGGGGGAGGCAAGGGAGGGGGCAAATGCCCCCCTCCAAATTATTTTTTGCCACCCCATTTTGCCCCCCCCTCAAAAAAAATTATTAATCACTAAGAGCGACTAAAGGCTACACAAGCGTTCTGTCGTTATCGGAAAATGTATGGCTTATAAGTTGTCATTACTCATTAGTGAATGCGCGTATACATGAAACTGTTTTTTACAGTTTCAATATTAGTTTGTAAATCTCTGAATGGTAAAACTTGCCAATACTCCAATAATACGTTTCAAAAAAAGACAGAAAAGCTTTAGTTTTGCAGAGTTAAATTCTCAAACGTGTAAGGCAATAATAAGATGAAAGTATCACGAAATTATTTGAATAAACCACATCGCATATATGGGGGGCGAATGTCCTAAAGAGGGGCGATATTCCTAGGGTATTCGCCGCATCCCCCTGGGAGGCGATATTCCTAGGATATTCGCCCCCGGGGGCGATATTCCTAGGGGGGGATTTCCTGGGGGGGGGGACCTTTTTAAAAATTCTATCTTGCCCCCCAAAATTTGAGTTTGCCCCTCAAATGCCCCCCCAAATTTGGAAGCTTGGCGCCGCCACTGAATAAAGCTTATATAAAAGAATGTAATATCTTAATCTTGAGCTTATATAAAAGAATGTAATATCTTAATCTTGATTAAAATCTATACTTTTTATATTTTCCAATATTTTAATTTTAGGGCTCGTGATGGCGGCTGCTGCCCACAACAAGTTATCGTCGATAGCCAGCACGTTCGTGTAATATACGGTATGATACTCGGCTATCAGCAGCGGTTAGGGAATATTGATGGCGATCCTTAGATAAGTCTTGACGGTATTGATATGAAAAACTGTTAAAGAAGCAAAATCATTAGGTATTGTCGTCGACAAATTGACGAAATAACTACTAAAGTTTCTAGCTATAGAGGAAGTGGCATGTAAGGGAGAATGAATGCCTATGTTGCCCCCCTTGAAATTTTAAGGTAGTGCACTGATAATGCCACATGCATTTGACTACTATTTTATTTATTTATTTTATTTTATAGATTTTGCCATTTAACACAAACTAGTACACAAAATTAGTTACACAATAGATTACATGGCTGGAATCACCACACAGAAATTAGTTCTCCAATAACGGGGTTCCAAGACATTCGAAATACACAGTATGAACAATAACAGGCTTGCAGACCGACAAACAAAAAAACAAACAAACAAACAAACAAACAAACAAACAAACAAACAAACAAACAAACAAACAAACAAACAAACAAACAAACAAACAAACAAACAAACAAACGAACGAACGAACGAACGAACGAACGAACGAACGAACGAACGAACGAACGAACGAACGAACGAACGAACAAACAAACAAACAAACAAACAAACAAACAAACAGATAGTCGTGAAAATCAACAAACAAGCACAACGAATTACAATCAACGACTTACAATTTATATGTGTCAATAAATTTAACCACATGCTCGATTCGACAAGTTAGTCAGTGGGCGAATTGTGTGAGACTTCACACAAACAGACTTAAATGTTATCGGATCCTCAGGATTATAAATTTCCTTTGTGAGATCCTTATAATGTTGCATTAAACAACATTTGAAAAAGACCACGGTTTTTATGGTTTCTCTGATCAAACAGGGGAGTGTATTCCATACGTTGGCAACTCTGACGTAGAAGCTGTTTTGGTAGCTCACTGTCTTGCACATGGCTACTTCAAGTAAGATACCATTGGTTGCATTAGTACTTCGTGTTTCTCGAGTAGGAATCTTGATAGAATTAAATGTTACCGTCGGAGTTGGAAATGATGCACTTGTAGAGATACACTAGATCCAAATACTGGTGCCAGTAACATTATTATAGGGATGATGCCGATGGTGTAGCCTTGTCTGGGATAATGCACCTTTCCGACTCTCAAGTGATTATCGCGTTATTTAAATGCTAATAAAAGTTGGAAAAGCGATGGGATACATTTTAAAAGGTTGAATTTATCTGCAGACATGTCGTACAGTAGATCAGAAAACATGTCCGTGAGCGATCTTAATAAAGCCTTTTAAACGATAAATTTTTCATTTATCGAGCGACCCTGAAACTGCTAGAACTGCTTTCTTGCTCTCCTCTTTTGCTTTTTCTGCAGCCATCGATATTTTATGCTCGTTATCCTGTTGTCAAATTCGATGTCGACTCACAAATTGTATGATTATACGCAATGATTAGATCGTATGCGCTTGACCTGGGGTAGAAACAATTAATCACAAATCTTTTCTCTAGCTCAATCTAAGTTAATTCTCAACATTAACATTCAACTTAACTCTCAACTTAACTCTCAACTTTAACTGGCGACTTAAGGTTCCAGGACACCCTTTTTGGCGTTTTGCGGAAAATCGCTACTGCGCGCTCAATATCAGTCCGATTTTCATCATATTTTCACCAAATGTTCTCCAGTGCATGCAAAATATGGTAAAGTTGTAAAATTAACAAGCAATAAAATAATGTAAGACTTTATTCAGGAAAATCATAAATCGCGGTACCTTTATACGCTTTTGAGTAGTGCTCCTGCTGGTTTTAAGTTATATTTATGAAAATATCATTTTTATACTCTAAAGTAGTTGTCCTAAAAAATTGTGTTCGGAAATTTTTGTTTATTTCGTCATTCCACTGATATGGCGATTTCTTTGACGACTGCAATATATTCCTGAATTGTTTGAGTGAATTGCTCTTTATTTTTAAAATATCCAAAATTAAAAAAAAGCCGAACATAATTTTGAAACTGACGTATTAATTAGCTATGTCCTGTGAACAGTTGAGAAAAATTGGTTAAAACCCGAAGGAGCATAACTCGTTTGAAAATCAGTAATTACCGTAAAAACGTTTGTGAGAAAATTGAATTTGAATATTACATTTTCAATGTTTTTCTTATTGCAGCGAAATGTATATTTATTCAATAACTCTGCGAGTTTTCAACATTTTTCGTTCAAAGTTGGTCAGATAGTAGAACTTGTCTCATCCTTTCATCCAAACCAATAAAACAATTTTAGGCAAAATTAACACTCGAAGGTGCTCTGTAACCTTAACTGGAAACTTAACTAGCAACTGTCAACTTAACTGCCAACTTAACTGGCAATCGTCAACCTAACTGTCAATTTAACCGTAAACTTAACTGTCAACTTAACTGTTAATTGTCAACTTAACTGCCAACCTAACTGTCAACTTAACTGTTAACTTTAACTGGTAATTGTCATCTTAACTGTCAACTTAACTGTCAATTGTCAACTTAACTGCGAACCTAACTGTCAACTTAACTGTCAACTTTAACTGGCAATTGTCAAATTAACTGTCAACTTAACTGTCAATTGTCAACTTAACTGCGAATCTAAATGTCAACTTAACTGTCAACTTTAACTGGCAATTGTCAACTTAACTGCTAACCTAACTGTCAATTTAACTGTCAACTTTAACTGGCAATTGTCAACTTAACTGTCAACTTAACTCTCAACTTTAACTCGAAATTGTCAACTTAACTGTCAATTGTAACTGCCGATTGTCAACTTAGCAGGCAACTATCTCAACTTTAACTGGCAACTTAAATGTTAACTTAACTAGCAACTGTCAACTTAACCAGGGCCTTTTTTAACATACAAGCTGGGGGGGCATTTGCCCCCCCAGTCCCCCCTTGTGCCCCCCCACGAAATCACATTTTGCCCCCCCCAGGAAAAGTCCCTTTTTCCTAAAATTATACAAACAATCCAGCGAAGATTAACAAATAGATAAACGGAAAGTAATTTTAGGCTTTATCCTTTGTTCTTGTTTAACAAAATCGATTTAAATTGTTACTTTTTTACCACTAAGTCATGATAAATTATTTTTAATATTTTTTTTTATTTTTTGGATGCTCAGAATGCAGGAATTAGCATTTCACGGTTTCAAATTTCAAAAATTTTCTTGGGATTATCCCTCCGAATAAGTAATGATAAATTACAGTTAATATTCTTTTTTACTTTTTGTGCATTTTTCCATCTTTTATTTCAAATACAACTATAGTTAGCATAAATTTTAGAGCAAATTTGGATGCTCAGAATGCAGGAAATGGCATTTCCGTGCTTCAAATTTCAAAAATTTTCTGGGGGAGTACACCCCACACACCTGACCATTGCTATCCTCCTCTAATAAGTAATGATAAATGATGGTTATTTTTTTTTTACCTTTTGTGTGTTTCTTCCTTTATTTATTTCAAATACAAGTATAGTTAGGATAAATTTTGGAGCAAATTTGGATGCTCAGAATTCAGGAAATGACATTTCCGGGAGTCAAATTTCAAAAATTTTCTGGGGGAGTACACCACCAGACCCCCCATTCATGCGTGGTATATTTGCCACACACGTGGCTTTCAGCCATTGCTATCCCCCTCTAATATATTATCTCACAGAAAGGTCCCTTTTCAAAAAATGCCCCCCCACGGGAAAATCCTTAAAAAAGGCCCTGGATCACTCTCGCAGTATACGCATGGTCTAGGTTTCCATTCTTCGTTTTTGGTCTGATAATTTCTCCCACGTCTTCTTCGGTCCATCTGCTCCTTCTCACTCTCTCGATCAATTTGTTTAATTCGGTTTCTCTCGGTCCACTTGCGCAGTGCCTCAATCAGGTTTTGAAACTCCCAGTCTTGCCAATTGTCATCAGTGCGGACTAGGTCTCCTCTGATAGTTTCTAGTTTATCTAGTGTTGCCCGTACGTAGCCATTTACTTCCTTGATTTTTCCCAGTGTTTCCAACGACTGGACGCCAGATACCAGCTTCTCATAAAAATCATGAATTTTTGCTGAGACAGCTCCTTTGATAGTAGGTAAGGATAAAATACTCAGTACGTACGCATTGACAATCTCACTGGTCTTTCCATATTTAGTTTTTAAAATGTTTTTGGCCCTTTCATACCCCTCAGTTGTAAAAGGTAGTCCGTCTATGGTCGTTCGTACTTTAGGCTCGAGTAATTCTTTTAAATATGAAAATTTGGTTACCTGTGCAACTTCCGCCCTGTCCACTTCCGTTTCGAACTGGCTCCAAAATCTCAGCCAGTCAGTCGCAACACCTTTAAATTTTGTGATAACAAGCTTTGGCAACTTCGTATGGGCCTTCGCTTCATTCTCTTGCTTTTTTGAAGACTCTAATTGTGATTTCTCGAATTGTAGTTTTTGTTGTAATTTAGCCTGTTCGAATTTCATTTCCTGTTCGAATTGTTGTTCTCGTAGCTTCGTCGCGAATTCTTGCTCTTGCATTTTCGTTTGCTCTATCTCGGTCTGGTTTGCTCGTTTAATTGCTTCTTGTAATTCTTGCACGCTTTGCTCGAATTTAGCTACCTCGCCTTCAATCTCTGCGCTCCATTTTCGTATCTCGCTTGGGTTTTCGTCCTTTTCTAGTTTCGCTTCTTGTGCTTGAACTTCAAGGTCATGGACTTCCTGTAGTTTGTTGTTTAAAGTTTTTAGTTTTCTTTCCATCGTAGGTACGTGTTTCTTGTCTAGTACGCTTGGAATATCTTCGCTTGTGAACTCCAGCATTCGTATTTTGTTTTCGATCGACTTTAATAACCCTTCGAGCGTCGCCATCTCAGTCGCTGTAAAATATATTTACTTTCGCTTTGATATGTTTACTTTCGCTTTGATATATTATACGGAAATCTCGTCGGTAGGTGCCACTTTTGTCGGAGAAAGGCTTCAAGAATCCCCAACAAATAACACTCGAAGAATCCTTTTTGTTTTAAATCTATTTATCTACTAAAACCCTTACAGAAAGTCCTCAAAATAACAGTTTGTTTTTCACTCCGAATGTTTTTACTAGCTCTCGTATTATTATTCACGGCCCTCCTTATTGTCTCAGTCCGAGACCTCTTCCGGTCTCCGCGCGTCCTAATAGTATAATGTAAACTTTCCCACAGGCGTATTTTTGTACAATACCAGCCCTACTGGCATATTGACTTACATGGGCTATAATAGCGCATTTTATTATTAAGTTCCGAAAACGGCTATACAGGTAAAAGAGGAAACAGGTTAATTGAAGTTATAAGGTTGCAGTTATATATAGTGCTAACATATAGCCAGCATAGTAACAGCTGGGCATTTTGTACGGAGCATGCGCGAAAAAATCAATATGGCGACATACATTTATAGGAGTGCTTCGTGTATTTATCTGGTTTTAAAGCTGATAAAACAACATTTCAATGAACAAAAACTTTGTAATATTTAGTGGAAAACATTAAGCTATGCAGTCCAAAGGTTTTAAATTAAAAATAAGTACTTTTGCTTTATTTTATTGCTTTTTATGCTTTCAAAATAGGCAAGCTCATTTTTTTTGAAAGAATCTAAACTAATATTTTATCCATCATTTGTTTAATCTGAACAGAAATTGATAGAACAGTTGGCTACATAAGTTATAAAGGGAATTGGTAGCTGATCTGAAAGATTTCAGTATTCCTGGTACACATTTTAGCAAAGAATGACTGTAATTTTAAAAATTAAATATGCATATCAAAAACAATAGTTTTTATTAGAACAACACATAATAAGTTGTTATTTTCTATTTTTACAAAAACAAGTTTGGAAACAGAATCTAGTCGTCCAGTTTGATGTCATATTTCATTTATTTGGATATTTGAATAAAGGAATGTGAAATAATAATTGAAACTTGTCCAAAATTTGATACCAACACTCAAGTGAACAGATACTATCACCTAAAAATAAAAGAAAACAGAACTTAAATTTGTCATATAATGCTATGAAAAAGTCTTAGATACTACAGACATATAGTGAGCACAATGCTTTAACAAACTCACTAAAATAAGTTAAGTTATGCTATGATAAGAGGATGGCAATATATGACAGCATCAAATGTTACCATCTTCAGTGTCCAAAAAAAGTGCCGCGCGCATTTTTCCCAGCATACCCACTAACTTTTCCATGAAGGTTGACTAATAAGGATAATTTTAAGCCATATTTCGGAGAGAGGCAATGGTAAAAATTTTAAGATATTTTTATTTATATGCCATATCACCACAGAATTTCACAAAGCAAGCATGCCTATATTTAGGATTGCCGTTAGACTCTTAAAACTGAACAAATCAATGCGGCATTTCTTATCTCATAACAACCAATACTTGAACATTTTCAAAATCATTTTTGCAGCAATTTTTACTTTATAACAAACTAATACAGGAGCAATTTCATAAGCATGTGACAACATGACATTTCCACTTCACAAGTGGATTTGTCAATTACAACATCTAGCACATTTTTCTCATGAATACCTTAGGTTTTAATAAAACAAAGTATCATTTAACTTTCATAAAATATATGTTCTAACTGAAGGCAACGGCCAGTTTTTACGAAATTGCAAGAGGAATATGTGTCATTTTCATCAAAATATGTATTTTAAGACACTTATTATTCCAGATGAGGAAGGACAAACAAATTATTGAACATACCTGTGGAAACAACAACAACTCAGCTTCTATCAAGAGTAAAATATGAACACTTCCTTGTTTCCATACTGCTGTACCCTGCTTCTGAAACTCTGACAATGAGTGAAACATTTCCACTTGTCGCCCATTTGTAAATAAAAATTCTTCGCACGTTTTCATGCGATTAAGTCGTTATATCGTTGCGTACAAGCACTACAACTTAATCTTTCAAGAAACACTTTATTTGCCATGAACAAACCAGTAAAAGAGGACAAAAAATCCTCTCACAATGCATATTTTCAGCGTTCGAAGAATCAAAATGTTTGTTAAAGAAATGCGCCCGCAATATTTAGACAGCGACAACAGAATGCCCAGCTGTTCAGCATAGTAATACACTTCAGTTGAATTCAAATGTTTAATCTAGGTGGCGAATGCCCAGGATAGTTAATTATTATAATATTATTGGGCATTGCGTCGTATTTTGAGGGCTAAAAATTGTGCAAACTCGCCTGGTCAACGGTACTAGTAAAATGCCCTCTGCTGAATATTATAATCGTAAGATGAGTTTGAGTCGTGACAAAAACATATCGATGCCCGCGTAAACCATCTCTATTGTTATATTAACCATAGCCGGCGGAACGTGGGAGGCCATTTCTTTTTTTTTGGGGGGGGGGATGGGGAGGGGCTATAGCCCCCAAACTACTTATAGTGATACTAATACTATACTGCCAGTATAACAGCTACAACAAAACTAACAATTTCTAATTTAAATATTTACGAAAACCACAGATTTTGCAAGTCTTCCAACAAGTTACTTTATAAATTAGGCACGACAATAAATACAGTTACTCAATTAACGAGATTAGTTGATGTCGAATGGTAGAAAGCCAGTCGTACATCGGTGTATATTTGGCATCAGTATATATACTTGCCTATACTGCATACTGTATGCCTTGAGGCATTAAAACAGTAAGTAATTAAATTACTGTTGTAAAATTAATGAGAATTTTTTAGTGGACACTTAAGAAGATGTAGTCATCTTTGCTTAATCAGCAACTTATATTATTTAAATGAAGTTTAAAAGTACAATTAATTCTATAATTTTATCACAAGTTACTATTCCAGACATAAAAAATACAGTGCTGTTGTACAGTATAAAAATTACTGAGAATTCTTTCAGTGGACGCTCTTGTGTCAGAAAGATGCAGTCATCTTTTGCTGACAGATTAAGAAGATGTAGTCATCTTTGCTTAATCAGTTGAAGCTCAAAGTCGTATCATAATTAGTACACAGCAGTTTTTATCTAAATGAAAAGTATAATAAATTCTATAATTTTATCATAAGTTACTATTAAAGAAATAAAAAATACACTGCTGTTGTGCAGTATAAAAATGATGAGAATTCTTTCAGTGGACGCTCTTGTGTCAGAAAGATGCAGTCATCTTTTGCTGACAAATTAAGAAGATGTAGTCATCTTTGTTTAATCAGTTGAAGCTCAAAGTCGTATCATAATTATTACACAGCAACTTATATTTAAATGAAAAGTATAATAAATTTAGATTAAGAAGATGTAGTCATCTTTGCTTAATCAGCAACTTATATTATTTAAATGAAGTTTAAAAGTACAATTAATTCTATAATTTAATTTTATCACAAGTTACTATTCCAGACATAAAAAATACAGTGCTGTTGTACAGTATAAAAATTACTGAGAATTCTTTCAGTGGACGCTCTTGTGTCAGAAAGATGCAGTCATCTTTTGCTGACAGATTAAGAAGATGTAGTCATCTTTGCTTAATCAGTTGAAGCTCAAAGTCGTATCATAATTAGTACACAGCAATTTTTATCTAAATGAAAAGTATAATAAATTCTATAATTTTATCATAAGTTACTATTAAAGACATAAAAAAATACACTGCTGTTGTCCAGTATAAAAATGATGAGAATTCTTTCAGTGGACGCTCTTGTGTCAGAAAGATGCAGTCATCTTTTGCTGACAGATTAAGAAGATGTAGTCATCTTTGTTTAATCAGTTGAAGCTCAAAGTCGTATCGTAATTATTACACAGCAACTTATATTTAAATGAAAAGTATAATAAATTCTATAATTTTATCATAAGTTACTATTCAAGACAGAAAAAATACACTGCTGTTGTACAGTATAAAAATGATGAGAATTCTTTCAGTGGTCGCTCTTGTGTCAGAAAGATGCAGTCATCTTTTGCTGGCAGATTAAGAAGATGTAGTCATCTTTGCTTAATTAATCAGTTGAAGCTGAAAGTCGCATCATAATTATTACACAGCATATTATAGCATTGCATTGTAGTGAATCATTTCAATCACTTGCTCAATAGGGCCATTTATACGGAAGAAAATAAGTCGCGACTTACATAAAACGCGAACACACTCGTATAAATGGTCAAATTCACTTCAAATGTTAGTTAATTGCGACTTACATAAGAACAAATAGGGTTGAGACCTGTCCACAATTAGTCGCGACTTACTAGAATTAGACCATTTATACAAGTGTGTTTGCGTTTCTCCCATATAACTAGAAATGGCCCTAATAAGTTCTCCGTTTGGTAATATAAGTGTCTTCAAAAGCAAATACCAACAGACAATTCGAAGTCAGTTTACTGCAATTTGTCCATGAAAATTACAGCGCGAAATAGCTACTAATAGTTAGCTGCATGTCGAAAATTTGTATAGAATTTACCTTCAAATGCGATTTGACCTTTGGCTTTGCGGTTAACCGTTATAGCGGTCTGCCGTAAAAGTCAATCTCATAAGAGTTAAGGGAAAAATTGTTTGCGAAACATATAATGTGTTGCAGTCAAACATGACATTTCTTGCATACTGTATTATTATACTGCATGGAGTCTATTACTGAACTAAAGGCAAACCATAGCATAAAGAGACACGGATACTCATTGAGGAAATTAACCACTCTCACGAATATACACAGGGGCGCCGGAAGCAATGTGAAGCGGCGGGGGCAGCCATTTCAAAAGGGCACTTCATTTTTCTGGGCAGCAATATTTGCTAAAACTTTACTGGACGGATACTCGATTACTTGTGGCTATTATGGGTCGGCAAACTTCGACAATAATTTTGAACAACTTTATTCGTTTCACCGTGCTAAAGGCAGGGCCGC